CCATTCTACTTTCTCTCACCATGAATTAACCACTCTAAGTACTTCATATGAGTGAAATCACACCATCTCTCTCCTTTCCTGACTAGCTGACTTCACTCAGCCTGTCTTCAAGGTTCATTCACGTCACAGCACCACGTGTCAGAATGTTCTTCATTTTTTTTTTCCTTTTTGTCTTTTTTCTGACCGGTAACGGGATCGCAACCCTCAGTGTCACGCCTGTACCGGGGACTGGCAACGGGATCGCAACCCTCGGTGTTGCGCCCGCACCGCACTCAGCCAGTGAGTGGAAACCAGTCTCCACATGGGATCCGAACCCTCGGTGGGAGTGCCGCCGCGCTCCCAAGCGGCGCACTCTCCAGTGCGCCACCGGGCCGGCCCAGAATATTCTTCATTTTAAAGGCTGCATAATATTCCACTGTATGTACATGTCACATTTTATTTATCTGTTCATCCGTTGATGGACACTTGGTTGTTTCCACTTTTTGGCTGTTGGGAATAATGTTGCTATAAACATGGGTGTACAAATACCGGTGCACATCCCTGTTGTCAATTCTTTTTGGGGATATACCTAGAAGTAGAAATGCTGGGTCATATAATTCTATTTTTAATTTCTGAGGAACTGCTACACCATCTTCTGCAGACACTACACCATTTTACATTTGACCAGCAGTACACAGGTTCCAATTTCTCCACATCCTTATTGGCCATTTTTATTTCTTTGAAATGTCTATTCAAGTCCTTTTCCCATTTTTGAATGGGGTTGTCTTGTTGAGTTTCAGGTGTTCTCCCTATATATTCTAGACATTAATCCCTTCTTAGATATGTTATTTGCAAATATTTTCTCCCATTTGACAGGCTGTCTTTTTACACTGTTGATAGTGTCCTTTGATGCATAAAAGTTTTAAATTTTGATTCAGTCCAGTTTGTCTTTTTTTTTTTTGTCTATGCCTTTAGTGTCATACCAAAAAAATTAGTGCCAAATCTAATATAATGAAGTGTTCTCCCTCTGTTTTCTTCTAAGAGTTTTGAAGTTTTAGGTCTTTGGTCCATTTCAAATTAATTTTTGTACATGGTGTTATATAAGCAGCTGACCTTCATTTTTTCACATGTGGATATCAAGTTTTCCCAGCACCGTCTGTTGAAAAGACTGTCCTTTCCTCATTAAATGGTTTTGGCACCTTTTTTTTTTTTTTTTTTTTTTTTTTTTTTTTTTTGTCCGGCAACGGATCGCAACCCTCAGTGTTGCCCCCGTACCGGACCGGGGACCGGCAACGGGATTGCAACCCTCGGTGTTGCTCCCGTGCCTCGCTCAGCCAGTGAGCGGGAACCGGTCTGTATGTGGGATCCGAACCCTCGGACGGGAGCGCCGCCGCGCTTCCCAAGCGGCGCACTATCCAGTGTGCCACCGGGCCGGCCCAGGTTTTGGCACCTTTGTTGAAACTCATTTGACCATATATGTGAATATCTATTCCATTGGTCTATATGTGTGTCTTTATGCCAGTAAGTACCACAGTGTCTTGTTTGGTGTAGCTTTGTATTAAGTCTTACTTTTTTTTTTACTAAGTTTTAAAATGAGGAAGTGTGATTCCTCCAACCTTGTTCTTTTTCAAGATTGTTTTGGTTATTCAGCACCCCTTAAGATTCCATGTGGATTTTAGAATGAATTTATCTATTTTGGTAAAAAACATTGTTGGGATTTTAATAGGGATTGCACTGAATCTGTACAAACCTTTGGAGAGTACTGACATGTTAACAATATTAAATCAATCAGTCTACAAATATGTGATGCCCTTCCATTCATACCTTCCTTAATATCTTTCAAAAATGTTGTGTATGAGTCTTCCATTTCCTTGGTTAATTCCTAAGTATTTCATTCTTTCTGATACTATTGTAAATGGAATTGTTTTCTTAATTCCTTTTTCAGATTGTTCATTTTTAGGGCCCAGAAACACAACTGATTTTTTGCCTGTTCATTTTGTATCCTGCTACTTCACTGAATTTACTTATTAGTTCTAACAGGTATGGGGGATTTTTGGTGAAATTTTCAGGGTTTTCTACATAAATCATATCATCTGAACAGAGATCATTTTACTTCTTTCTTTCCACTTTGAATGCCTTTTGTTATTTATTTATTTATTCTTTTTTTTTCTGCTGAATTGCTCTGGCTAGAACTTTCAATACTATGTTGAATGTAAGTTGCAAAACTGAACATCCTTTTTTCATTCCTGATCTTAGAAGAAAAGGTTTCAGTCTTTCACCGTGGAGTATGATGTTAGCTACTGGCTTTTCATATACAGCTTTTACTATGTTGAGGTAGTTTCCTTCTATTCTTAGTTTGTTGAGTGTTTTTACCACAAAAGAGTATTGAATTCTGTCAAGTGCTTTTTCTGCATTACTTGAGATGATATTATGGTTTCTGTCCTTCATTCTGTTAAGATGGTGCATTACACTGACTGGTTTTCATATGTTGAACCTCCCTTGTAATCCTGGTATAAATCCCACTTGGTCATGGTGTATAATCCTTTTAATATACTGCTGAGATAGGTTTGCCAGTACTTGTTCAGGATTTTCACATCAAAGTTTGTATAAAGGTCAATGGCCTGTACTTTTCTTATACTGTCTTTGTCCTTGGATATCACAGGCATGTTGGCCTTATGAGTTAGAAAGTTTTCTGTTCTCTTCAGTTTTTTGAAACAATTTGAGAAGGACTGGTGTTAGCCCTTCTTTAAGTGTTTGAAAGAATTCACCAGTGATGCCATCAGGTCCAGGGTTTTGCTTTGTCAGGAAGTTTTGGATTACTGATTCATTCTCCTGACTAGTTAGGGATCTATTCAGATTTTCTATTTTTTCATGATCCCGTCTTCGTGGGTTTTGTGTTTCTAAGAATTTGTCCATTTCATCAAGATTATCCAATTTGTTGCCCTCCAATTGTTCACAATACTCTCATACTGTCCTTTTTTTATTTCTGTAGAATCAGTATAATGTCCCCACTTTCATTTCTAAATTTAGAAATTTAAGTCTTCTCTTTTTTCCTTCATCAATCTAGCTAAATGTTTGTCAATTGTATTAATCTTTTTGAAGACCAACCCTTGGTTTTACTGGTTTTCTGTATTATTTTTCTACTCTTTATTTTACAAGTTATAAATTATAAAACTAGCCTTCATAATTATCCATGTACTTAACTTTACCAGACATCTTTACTTCTTCATACAGCTTTGAGTTCCTGTCTAGTGTCTTTTCATTTCAATCTAAAGGACACCCTTTAGCAATTTTTGCAGAACAGGTCAAGCGCTAACAAACTCCCTCAGTGTTCAATTATCTGGGAATGTCTTAATTTCACCCTTATTTTTGAGAAAGTTTTGCCAGATATAGGATAATTGGTTGACAGGGTTTTTTTCTTCAGCACTTTGAATACATCAACCCACTGCCTTCTGGCCTCCAAGGTTTCGGACAGGAAATCTGCTGATAATCTTAGCGGTATCCCTTGCATGTGATGTTACTTTTCTCTCACTGCTTTCAAGACTCTTTGTCTCTGGCTTCACACAGTTCGATCACATTGCGTCTTTGCGTGAGTCTCTGAGTTCATCCTGCTTGGAGTTTTTTGAGCTTCCTAGATGTTTATATTCATGTTTTCAATAAATCTAGGAAGTTTACAGCCAAATAATTTGTCTGCTCCTCTCTGTTCTTCTGAAACTCCACAATCCGTGTATGTTGATGTTTGTGTTCCAGAAGTACCTTAGGTTCTGTTCATTTCTCTTCAATCTTTTTTCTTTCTGTTCCTCAGACTTGATAAATTTTTAATGGTCCTAATCATCACACTGTTTGTGTTCCAGAAGTACCTTAGGTTCTGTTCATTTCTCTCCAATCTTTTTTCTTTCTGTTCCTCAGACTTGATAAATTTTTAATGGTCCTAATCATCACACTCACAGGTTCTTTCTTCTGCCTGCTCAAATCAGCTTCTGAATCCCTCCAGTAAATTTTTCATTTCAGTTATTGTACATTTCATTCCCAGAATTTCTTTTGGGGTCCTTTTTATATTTTTTTACCCTATTACTGATATTTCCATTTTGTTCATACACCATTTTTTTTAACTTTTTCTATGTTTTCTTTTAACTCTCTGAGCATCCTTAAGACAGCTATTTTAAATTTTTTGTCTAGTAAGTCCACCATCTGCTCTTTCTCCAGAACAATTTCTGATGTAACTTTTTCTATGTTTTCTTTTAACTCTCTGAGCATCCTTAAGACAGTTATTTTAAATTTTTTGTCTAGTAAGTCCACCATCTGCTCTTTCTCCAGAACAATTTCTGATGATTCGTTTTCCCTTCAAATAGGAATATATTCCTTGTTTTCTTAACTATCTATCTAACAAGAGAAGAGTTAAATAAATCTTATTGCATTCATACAGTGTAGATGGTGGCATGGTTACTCATTCATTCAAAAAACACTTATTAAATGCCAGCCACTTTATAGCTGCTGAAAACAGCAATTTTTTAGAGTATAGCCTCAAAAAAAGATAAGCTTTTAGAGTCTGCTCTAATCATTCACATATCCTAGAACTTACCATACAGTAGGCACCCAATAGATAGTTGATGAATAAATGAACATATTTCAAAGTGATAAGCTTTTGTAGCGTTACTTATAAAAATAACAATTCTCTTCACTATACTTTTCATATAAAATTAGGGTTTTAAAAGCATTCTTTTAAAAATAAAGGCAGCTTCAAGCGTCCTGGCATATGATCTAAATGAGTGTGGTATGTTTCTACAAATATATTTTACATGTATACCATTCTTTAACCAACCCTAAAAACACACCTTTACAATGTACTGCAATGACACCCTCAGCATTTTCACAAATATCCAAAAATTCTTGGACAATGGCATCGGTAGGGGTGCTGCCATCCGCAAAGAAAAGGTCGTGGTGATCAAAACCGGCCTCCGTAAAGCGCTTAGCATCGTACATCCTTTTATTCAGGCGAATAATGGTAGTAACATGGTGATTCTTAAAGTAGGGGATATAAGTCTCAGGAGAGTGCTGGTGGTAACCTGCAGAAAGAAATGCACCAGGCCTCGTAAAATGCAGAAGGAAAGTGATGAGCAAGCTTTTCCTGTAACTGGGTAGAAATAGGATGTGGACTAGACTCTGAATACCAATTTGTTTATAAGAAATAAAATTTTTTTAAGAAGTTAAAATCCAGGCAGAATGATGGACTGAAATGACCGAGTATGCTTAAATAATTAAGACTTAGTCAAGCTTTTTTTAACCCTTTGGCCTCTTTCAAAATAAAATGCAGGAGGATACTTTCAATAGCAAAGTTATACCGGTCCCATAATTTCACATACCACTTTCAAGTCTGGATCTTGTATGAGGTCCACAGAAGGCAATAAATCGGTCTGGTATTATCCAATTTAAATCTCCATTTTCTGCTTTCTGCAAAGGGAAGACCAGCACAATTCATTTTTAATTTTTAGACTTAATTTCCTCTCCACCTCCCTTATCAATACTGAGTCTCTGAGGGACTTCAGATCCACCTGCTTTAGCACAAAAGCTGTTTATAAATGACCATGAGACAGGAAGTCTAAAATGTGCCCTACTATAAGTACTCTAAGGGAATAACTTCTCCTGGTCCTAATCGCTTTCTTTTAACAATATTTCTTTGCTAGAATAGTCAGCCCCTGGAAAATAGAGCTGACTGCTGATATCTAAAATAAAATACACTAAGCACTTGGTTATTTTATCTAAGGAACTTTGGCTATTTTATCTGAATAAATTCTCATTATACTTGCTACTAACTAATAAGAAAGCAAACTTATCTAGCATGAGGGAACTGTAAACTTCCCTATTTTTCTGAATGACTAAATGATTTCCAACATAAGCAATCTTGACTCCTTGAACAAAGGAAAAAAAAACATTTATTCAGGTTCCTGGCTTCTCAATATTTACTTACTTACTATTATTTTTTGACATTTTTAAATGAAAGATAATCGATTATATATATTTGTGCAGTACAGAATTGAATATCAATACACATGTATAATATGTGGTGATCAAATCAGGATAATTAGTATAACCTCATGTTTATAAAATATAATCAATCTTAGTTACCATTTACTCATGTCTCACCAACCTCCCTCCTCCCTTACCCCCAATAACCACAGTTCTGTTCTCTTCTTATTTTGAAAGTTTAACATATTATTACGATTCTTTCTTTCTTCCTTTCTCTGTCTCTCTTTCTTTTCTTTCTTGCAGTTCCCATTTATTAATGAGGACGTGCAGGTATTTCTCTTTCTGTGCCTGGCTTATTTCACTTAACATAATTTTCTCCAGGCTCATCCATGTTGCTGTGAATGGCAGAATTTCATTCCTGTTTAAGGCAGAGTAGTATTCCATTGTGTATATATACCACATTTTCCTTATCCAGTCATCTCTTGATGAATATTTAGGTTGACTCCAACTCTTGGCTACTGTAAATAGAGCTGCAATAAACATGGGAGTGCAGGTGTCCCTTTGACATCATGATTTCCATTCCTTGGGGCATATGCCCAGTAATTCAATGTCCCAACTGAACTCAACAAGAAATTACTTACTTATTTATAGAGACACACATTTCTATCATTTTTCTAACTATTTAATAAGAGACCCAATCAAAAATGTCACTAAATCCAACAGGAAATTCAAAATTACAAGTATACTGAGATCACCAATATGTCTCTACAAAAAAAATGAATATAAACTGATATGTAAAATGTTACTTCCTGTTACTAAGTCCTTTGGATTGAGTTACCATCACAATTATTGTAGCAAAAATATAGTTCAGATTTAACAACAATATAAACATATCTTTTAATGAAACAGGTAACAGAGACTTGTAAGCAGGAAGTAGGAGACATCTGGTAGTGGAGAAGGTGAGAACTAGTGATAAAAAGATAAATTATATGATCATAGCACGCTGTATAAATGTGCCCGAATATCACATTGTACTCCATAAACATACATAATTATCATAGGTCAATTAAGAAAGCAAATTAAAAAGAAAAAATATTTTCAGAGACAGTAGATTAGAGGTTACCAGAAACTGGGGTAAGTTACTGCTTAATGGATATAGAGTTTATGTTTAAAATGACAAAAACGTTTTGGAAATAGATGGAGGTCATGGTCACATAGCATCGAGAATGAGATTAATTCCATGCAACCGTACATTTAAAGATGGTTAAAATGTCAAACCTTACGTTATATATATTTTAGCACACACACAAAAAAAATACAGATAAATTAGCTTTGCAATTGGGGTGATTATATACGTACCTAAGAATGAGTAAGAAATAAACTATGAGTTTCTTATACATCTAGAGGGGACAGGGAGGTAACTAACCAAACCGGTTTATTTAGTTGTCAACAGTGGGAATTGGTGAGCCCATGTTCCATAATAAAAGGCCTAAGCAGGATGAAGAGAAATGTTGCCAGATGTTCTCATTTTGAAGTGAAACCGGAAATCTGACGTTTGTAATAAGATGCCGGCAACAACCAGATTTCATTGAATTGCTGACATCATAGATTATTAAGATGCATCCTGAATTTGAAGAAGTTAAAATAGTAAAAAAAAGGCATTGTGGAATCAATGAAAGACACTAAGCCCAAATTTCCAAATACACCGTATACAAAACTAAACAAAATGGGCCTGTGGCTACCTACCTAACCAGTTCCCTGTGTCTCAATGCAGTTTCACTGAACGTAAAAACAGTTCTGGGTGTGAGCCTGCTAGCCTGCCAGCTCACAGCCCTGATTTCTTCAGTGATGAGAGGGGAGCTAGCTAGTGCCTGTATTCCTCCTCAGTAATAACACACAAAGGCACACGCTGAAGGACCAAGCGCCACAGGGCGCTTTTATTGGTTTTGCTTTTAATGTTTAATTTTAGAAACAAGGACAAAAAAAGGTGTTAATAATTTAGTTATTTGTTAATTACTAGTTAAGATGGTAGTTAAACACATATTGTATTTTAGAAATGGATTGTAATTACAGAGAAGTAAAGATACAATAGGCTTTTACATCTTTGGTACATCACAGTAACAAGTGATCATCATTAGCCTAATACATCAATAAAATAGTGCAGTTATACTTAAGAGCTCATTAAAATAAGTTACTTTAGAAACTGATTATGAAAAAATAGTTATCTAGGCGTCAAGATCCTGCTGCGCAAAGTGCTGTCTGAGGAATCACCCTCCACAATTAGACAGTCTGCTCAAGTTAACTGTAGTGGAATAAAAAAGACAAGAGTCTACAAGTACTGTTGGCTGAAAAAGGCCTTCAGCATAGCATCTTCCTCATTATCTATTTGGAGGATGAAACTGTAGAATTAAATTATTTATTCTTTAAAATAAAATACAAGACACTTGGGGTTTTCCCTGCCTGGACTGTGCCCACTCCCACCTTCTTAAAATTTTTTGTCTGGATGGTTTGATAGGGCTGAACCCAGAATCACAGCTACATGCACAGCTGGAGACTGAAGTCTGGCCAGAGCAGCGCCCCCAGTCCAATTTCTGGTAAGTATTTGAGCAACTGAATGGGGTCATGCTTGAAGCCACACCTGCTCCTGGACTCTTTAATTTATGCAATCCAATAATTTTTCTTTTTTGTTTAGGCCATTCGTGTTTACTTTCCATAATTTGCAACCAGAACTGTCCTGACTTATATAAACAAAGATATTTTCCAGAGATAATTAGATGTATTATGACTACTGATCTCATCATACCCTATGCTAAGGGTTTTACAAACATTATCCAACTTAACCACCGTATGAAAGTCATCAATACTAAAAAATAAATACTTAAACTAAACATGATGAAAAATGCAAAGATGCACACATATCAAATACAAAAACCACCACTAAGAATTTGGACTGGTGGGGCCGGCCCGGTGGCGCACTGGATAAGTGCGCCGCTTGGGAAGCGCGGCAGGCGCTCCCGCCCGAGGGTTCGGATCCCACATACAGACCGGTTCCCGCTCACTGGCTGAGTGAGGCGCGGGAGCAACGCCGAGGTTTGCAATCCCGTTGCCGGTCCCCGGTCCGGTACGGGGGCAACACTGAGGGTTGCGATCCGTTGCCGGACATGGAAAAAAGACAAAAGACAAAAAAAAAAATTCGGACTGGAGAAATGGGGATAAGGGAAGAAGTGACTTTTTGTTACTTTGTACACACCTAGTTTGTTTGATTTTACTTAAAAAAAAAAAGAAAAGAAAAGAATATTACTTCTGTAAGTAAAATAGATGAATAAAAGAGTTAAAAACAAGGTGAATCTGACGGAATTTTGGTTGAAGAGTACACTTTCAGGTATAAGGTGAGGAAGTCCCAGGGATCTAATATATGCATTCTACATTGTACTTGAAATTTGCTAGAGAGGAAATCTTAAGTGTTCTCACCACACACATTAAAAAAGGCAACTGGGAGCTGACAGATGTGTTCATTAGCTTGACTGTGGTCATCAGCTCAGAATGTACACATACATCGAAACATTACTTTGTACACTTCAAATATATGCAGTATCTGTCAATTATACCTCAATAAAGCTGGGGGGAGGGGAAAGGGTTAGGAAACATTACCCTTGAAAACTTACTTCATAGTGTTCATACTCATCAAGGCTAAAAGAGTTGAAGTCAAGGAAGCCATACTGCATTGCCTACAACCCAAAAGAAAGCCTTTAAGCACAAAGATGCAAATAATGAAACAATTTCCTACCCAATTTCCTAATAACAAATATCAGGAGGCACCCCAGGAAAGTATTATTATATCTGGATTACTTTCTATTGAACAGTTTTTAAAGGAAGTGGGCTGTACCTTTTAAAAGCTTCCATTATCTAGAAAATAATTATAAAAATATTTAATAAGATTTGATTATTTTATTTTCATTCCCAATCACCCTGCCCATGCACAGTTAAATAATCATATCTTCAAAATAATCTTACTAACTTACTAGACCAACACTGCCCATGGTTGAAGACTCAGAAGTTTAGGATTCAAATACAATGCACAACCCAGTCATCTCTAAATAAATAATAAAGAGGAAAGAAACCATGCGCTAGTTTATCCCAAACAAAACCCACACACTTCATAAATATCTTCACTTTCAAAATCTTCTGAATTAAGAGATCCATGCTCCTTACATTAAAGACAACCCAGACATCAAAAACACTAAAATTCAAATTTTTGAGGGAAACAAATTCTTCTTTCAGTAAGAAAAAAACGTAAAATGCTCTGTCCTATCCTGTAGCTTCACTCTTGAGTTGCAGTAAGTTGCAGTACAGCACACTGAGAGAAATAAACAGGGCATGCACTTTCTGAGACAAGGGTGAACTGAGAACCAGCGGCCCCTGCAAAGGGCTCCCCTGGGAAGGCTTCTCCTGGGAAGGGCTCCCCCCTGGGAAGGGCTCACTGACCACTGAGCGACACAAGACAGAAGCAAGAACTCTTGATCGCATTCTTGGTTCAAAAGGGGGATTCTTGCCCCCTGGGAAGGGCTCACTGACCACTAAGCGACACAAGACAGAAGCAAGAACTCTTGATCGCATTCTTGGTTCAAAAGGGGGATTCTTGTAAACCCGGTTTTCAAAATTTAAACTACTGAAATATAAATGTAAAATAAGGCTAGAATACCAACTAAAAAGTCCTCATTTTATAAAATATAGTTAGACACTAATTCCAAGACCAAATCTGTAATAAATTTTACTTCCTAGAATTCAAAATACTCAATATATTTCATGATATTTGGACCAGAGACATCCCTAACAGAATGACACAATAAAACATAGTTTACAGGCAACTCCTATTATCCTCTGAATTTCAAAAGGTGATCCTACTGGAAGCAGACAGCACTAACATTAACACATAATTACATTTATAAATGTTTCATTTATGCAATAGTCAAAATCAGTCACAAATAAAACATGTTTAAATTGAAAATAAGAAGCTGTTGACCCTTAAATAAAACTTAATATAGTGTGAAAAAAACAGTCTTTGACCTATAATACCAGCTAATTAGATTTTGGGTGCAATGCCTGGTAAAAACCCAGTAACTGCTACACAATGTGAGAGTGAACCATTCCCAAGCCCCTCAGAGCTTTTCTCTTTTTAAACGTGAGCACGCCTACCCACATTAGCCATTCCTGGGGCCTATCTGGCAGGGACTACAACTGGAAGATGCCACTCACAACTACTGTCCTTCTGTCTCTGATGTCCCCCTCTGCCTAGTACCTGCCTCCGAGCTGCCGGCAACTACCTCAGTGTCAGCCTCATATCCCAGAGTCACTGGACTCAAAGCCAAATTAAGTCCCCATACCTCATTGCCTAGCATAGGAAAAATGGCATACTAATGAGTCTCTGAATTTGCATACTAATTGGTCCTCTCATTTTAATTCACAAAATTTCTGTCAAAATTTCCAGAAAGCCGGTATTTCATAATATGAGAGTTTCACTAAATAAACCTGGGTTCCTTTTGCCTCTGAAAACACAAGTCATATAAAACTCGAGATATTGGTGAAGGCTTATTTGACCCATGTGCTACTTATTTACAATTCTAGTTTCTAATGCTGCTCTGACCTTCAAGAAACATGCCTGAGGGACTGGGAGTCACCACCAGGGCCTGCAGCATCGCCCAGGGGACCTACTCACTTAGAATGAGATGTGAAGGGTGTCCCTGAGAGTCAAGACAGCAGCACTGTCTTTGACCCACTTAGTTTTATATAAAACCTGGTAACAAACTAATTGGCTATCCAAATTCTGTTGAACTAGAAACTGAATGCCTAAAAAACCAAAAATGAAGTACATGACAACTACTGTGGCACAGAGATGCCTGCTGTAAACAGTACGGGTGGGAATCAGACCCATGAAATACATAAATCAAAGGGAACCTGGAAACCAGGAATCTATTTATTTTGTTTTTCTTTTAAATCATAACACACTCAAAATCAGTCCTGGATCTAAAACCTAATTTCGTAACTATCTCTTATAGTCGCCTGTTTTTTAAGTGGCTTTCCCCCCATCTCATCCACAGAAAGACTCAGAAATTCAGAATAAGCTACTTCCTGCTTTAGTGTCATTCTAACATTAGTTGGGAAATGAAATAACTGTAATCATTCACATCTTGGAAGAAATTCCAACAAACAAATCTTTGGGGAAGAAGGCTTAGACTTCCTTGGACTGTACTTCCGTTCTCCAACACTGCACTGTCACTTACCTTCTTTACTGCGTGAAAACAGTCGAGAAGTGTAATGTAGAAACTGCAGCTTCCATAGGCAGCATCTCTGAAATTCCAAATGCATTGAAATACGTGGTTCAGTTAATTTAATTTTCTGTAGTGCACTTAAGACAAAGCTGACAAAAATTTAAAATCAAACACATACTCAGAACAACTCTCAAAAACAAAAAATCAAAAAAACCTTGGTTTTCAAATAGAGGTTAAGTCAGTTATAAATTTCATTACAATTTCCACCTATCCCAATAGGTACTGTTTTACAGGCCTGATCAATATGACCACTTCCTAACTTTCAAATGATCTCTCCGGATCATTTTGGCTTTGGTAGCTGAGCTTCCTTCCTGAATTCAGCTAATCAGTAATACCTACTACCCTTCCTCCCAAAAGGACAAGGCATTTGAATTTTTTCTTTAAACTAGAAAATGTCGTATCAAACAGTGACCAGGATAGATTGCTTTCTGATTCTGTATATACGCATATGCGTATGAGTGTCTAAGTCTGCAAACGCGCGCACGTGTGTGTATCTCCACCAAAGTAGAAAAAAAATATTGAGAAATCAAAGGTGATATGTGAAATACTAGGTGCAACATCTTTGTGCTCTGTTGCTATCATTATGCAACACTTTTAACAATATAACTAGGTAACTTCTTTCTGATTCTTAAGAGACGATAATACCAATAAAACCATAGGAACTACGAGGAATCAACTACTTTTGGCAGAATCTCTTCACCTTTGGGAAAGTACTTAAAGTACTTTACAGACGACTCCACGCAAACACTACATTAACATGTATCAGTAATCTTATTACAAATCCCTTTATATCAGGTAAGATTTTGATATAAAAATACAACACCTCCCCACCCCTACCTGCTTCTCCTTTGTGGCTATCTCAAGCCACTACAAGATGAAAATTTTTGGAATTAGGCAAGATAAAAATTAATTTGATTACGATCATGCTAGGCATGCCACACAACTGTGCCTACCTGAGCAGGACTCACTTGTTCACAGGGGGAGCAAGGTTGCTACTGCAGCCACCATGAACTGCCTGCCTCAGCTGGGTTTTTACACTAATATTTCTTACCCGAAAAACTAAAGTGCAAATTTTTAACATTTCATTCTTGCCCAAACCTTAAGAGTTGAGACTATATAATTAGAGCAACATTTAAGCTAAAACAGTCTTAGACGCTACTGACTGAACTGGTTACGCTTTGGAGCCTCAGGAGGACTGAACGCAAGGTCTTACAAGGTGCTGTTTTCGTTCTGTAAAATTCTGAATTTAAATACTTCTCTTCTAAAAGCTAGAAAAGGTCTCTTTCTCTATCCAACCTAGAAGACAGCGATTTCACCAATACCCCACTGGCAATATTCAGAATGGAAAAAACAAAATGGCCTGAGCAGTGGTTCTCAGAGTGTGGCCCCTAGGTCACAGCATCAGGATCACCCCAACTTGCTAGAATGCTCAGGAGCCACCCACACCTACTGAATTAATAGTTCTAGGGACAGGGCTAGGTAATCTGTGTTTTAGCAGGTGTTCCAGGTGACTGTGATATATGTTCAAGTTTATGAACCACTGACCTAAAGAATCAGCACAAATACTTGTTCTGTAGAAATAGTTTTTTTATGTTATAGGAAATGTTTTTAGATAGAGGAACTAAGGCAGGAAAACAAAATATTTTAGCCCAAACCAAATCAGAATTATCAATGGAAATACAGTAAACTCTCAAATTGCATCCCGATGATTTTAACCATGTCTCCTCAGTTAAATACTATTATCTTCTTAACTTACTGATAATTTTTTTCGAATGAAGCTAAAAGCATGTTGATTCAGTATTTATGACAATTTAATGCATTTATTCAATGCATTTTTTTGAGAATCTACTTGGGCCACGCCCTGCTCTTGACAGTGGTAATTCAACAAGGTTTAGTAGGGGCTTCAGTCGAGTCCTGCCTTATACATCACACTGTCTGAACAGACAGCGCGGGTCTTTCTTCATTCACTCATGTTTATTTCATTAACACCTCCAGTTTTAAAGCCACCCACGCCTCCTTCTTCCCACCCCAGTAATCAGGTTTCTTCAAAGAGGCAGAACAGCAGCTCTAAATCTGGGAATAGGCCTTTGTGAGGGGAGAAAATCCTTGACAGTAAGATCATTTAGCAAACTTGGAAAAACAGATGAGAATCAATAAAAGGGTGTTGCTTAGAAACTACAAAACCATGTCAAATATTAGTTTTAAAAAACGGCAGCTTTCATAACAGCTTGTAATCACAATAGCCAAAAACTGCAAATGACCCAAATATCCACCAAAAGGACAATGGACAAATAAATTGTGGTATAATCCCAGAACGAAATGCTATAAACGCAATAGAAAAGGATGAACTTCTGATACCTGCCACTACACGGATGAACCTCACAGATACTACGTACTTAAAATGCCAGAGCCCAGCTCCCCAACACACACAGTGTGTGATTCCAGTTACACCAAGTTCAAAGGCCAGCAACACTGACTGACAGTGGTGGACGTCACCGCAGGGGTCAGCGGGGGTGGGGACTGGCTGGAAAGAGGTAGGCAGGAATCTTCTGGATGAAGGCAGTGTTTTGCATCTTAGCTGTGTGTGCTAGTTACATGTATATACATAAACCTTCACTGCACTATGCTCTTAAGATTAGTGGTTTTTAAAACTGTATAACTTATACACTGACTTTAGGCTGGGGGTGGGGGGTTAATATTCAACAAATGTCAGCTAAGGGCCAGACACTATGCCAAGTGTTTTACATGCAGGATGTCCCTTAATCCTCACAATCCCTTTAGGTAGATATAATGAGGTACTTCAAAAGTTTGTGGAAAAATATAACTCAAAGATAATACGCATCTTTCCATGAACTTTTTGAAGTACCCTCATGTTATCATTGCCATTTACAGACTAGGAGACCAAGGCTCAAACTGGTGAAGGACCACAGAAACATACGTAGGAGGGCTGAGAGCCAAACTCCCCTTTGAAGTCAATAGCCAAGCCATTAACAACACTAGCAAGAAAAAGAAAGCAGAAGCCAAAAAAATAAACTAAGCAGCAAACAGTATTCTAACAGATAACACCAAAGAACAGCAATATATGCTGTTCATAAAAATAAGCCTCAGTGTAAGGTATCAAGAAAATGTTAAACTATATTTTACACTGTTTTTCTCATTTAGACAGGCAGAAAAATATTTCATATAATTCAATAACATACATGTGATGATACTATACATACAGTTAACCCTTGAACAACGTGGGGTTAGGGGTGCTGCCCCTGTGCAAATGAAAATCCAGGCATAACTTTTGACTCCCCCAAAAGTTAACTACTTAACTACTAATAGCCTACATGTGGACTGACTGAATTGTGTCCCCCAAAGTTCATATATTAGAAGCTTAATTCCCACTGTAACTGTTGAGGGCAGGACGTCCCATTATGGTGACTGAAAGGTGGGGCCCTGAAGAGGTGATCAGATCATAGGACCACGCCATAGTGAAAGGATTAATTATGGTGGTCAGGTGTGTGGTTCTGAAGGCTTTAAAAGGAGAGTCTCTCTTCCTCCGCTCCACCATTCCGCCATGTGAGATCCCTGGGTCCCTGCTGCCACCACCAAGGCCTTCACCAAATGTGTTCCCTGGACTTTGGACTTCCCAGCCTCCAAAACTGTAAGCAATAAATTTAGTTTTCTTTATATATTAGCCAATTGCATGTATTTTGTTATAAGCAACAGAAACGGACTAATACAGCCTACTTACTTAAAATTTTAAGAGTAGGCTACTTATTTAAAATTTTCCAATATATTTATTTTAAAAAATCTGCATATAAGTAGGTCTGCACATTTCAAACCTGAGATGCTCAAGAGCCAACTATACATATATATATATATATATATATATGAGAGAGAGAGAGAGAGAGAGAGAGAGAGAGAGAGAGACATATGTATACGTATATTCTTTTGTACAAGTATAGACATGCATAAAAGCATATGCATGCTTTTCTACTTTTAAACTCAGTGGTTAAAGAATTCTAAGTTGAACTGAATTTAATCCAATATTGATATGGAAACTAAACTATTTACTGTAAATGAATGCTATTCTTTTTTTTTTTTTTAAAAGATGACCAGTATGGGGATCTTAACCCTTGACTTGGTGTTGTCAGCACCATGCTCTCCCAAGTGAGCCAAGGGCCGGCCCAATGAATGCTATTATTGTACAACCTCTTGTTAGCAATACTTTTTTAGTTATATTTATTCTATGCACTTGAAATGGCAAGGATAAAAATACAATGTAATTTCTATCAAAATAAAATCAGGCTTTATAAATTCTGATTGTTCTATTTTCTAATTATTAAGATAGAAAGAACAGTAAGATGTGATGATGCACCAAATTCAAAAATTTTAAGTCCATCATCGGCTGATACTTTTGTAAAATATAATAAATATGAAATACAATAATACGATAGTATTGTACTGTTAAATACTCACAATAATGCAATAATCTTATCTTGGTAAATAAAGTGAATTAGGAGAAAAAAATACATGCCCAAATTCTTCTATTATTTGATTCTACAGACATAAAATTACTCTACAAATGTCTCTAAAATCTTGCTCTCAATTTCTGTATTTATCTCATCACAGGCCGGTAACAAAAACTCACAGACTGGCACCAGCTCGCAGGCCACACTCTGAGAAACACTGTGTTAGATAATAAGTATCTGGTATGAATGACTGAGAAGATTCAAATTTCACAAACCTGAACTGTTTCTAGCTAAGTCCTGCTTTTTAGAGAATTACTGACTGGTGCTCCTGGGACAAGAGGTAACTAACTTCACTTCTCAGTGCCAAACTTTAATAATTTTAAACACAGGAATGGCAGTAAGCAACGTTTATTTGGTTTTTGGCACTGGTACTTAAATTAACTCAACTTCTTTTTTCACATCAGCAAGGTCCCATGGATCCTTACTTGGAGTATGTGAAGTGTGTGAGCTGATTCCTGCTTCAGGAACTTGTGTTGTAAACTGTAAGAATGGCATTATAAAAGATCACCATTATAAAGCAGAGTTCTGTAGGACAAGGCCGTCACTGTAGGAAGAGATTCTTCCAGTGGTTAGGAAGGCCCATCCCAAAGCTCATACGCAATGAAGTCAGATTCACAACCTTAAGTTTTTAAAGGCAAGGCCATACCTTCAAAATTAGGCACTCAAGATAAATGCAACAATCCTAAAACAGTGAACTAAATTTGTGAATGGAAGAACAATGCAGTATTTGAAATTATCTATAAAGTATGTAAGGAGCAAAATTATTTCACACATTTATTACCCATTAAGCACCACACAAATATTTAGATTATACAGCTGAGCTAAGATCTTGATAAACAGGAGAGATACTTTTAGGACTTAATTTGATTTAAAGATAAACAATACAAGTTTTTTTTTAAATACGTTCAGCACCATCGCATGGGCAAGTTTGAAAGGAGGAGGCCATCCACCCGTGTGAGGACACTGCTGTCTGCTACCTGACTGGCTTTTCTGGCTGTGGTACAACAGCAGCAACCTCACCCACTAGTTCTGCTGGCTATGGCCTTAAAATACGTTCAGCACCATCGCATGGGCAAGTTTGAAAGGAGGAGGCCATCCACCCGTGTGAGGACACTGCTGTCTGCTACCTGACTAGCTTTTCTGGCTGTGGTACAACAGCAGCAACCTCACCCACTAGTTCTGCTGGCTATGGCCTTAGTTTCTGCTCCAGAAAGCAACTCCTGATTATTGGGACAACTTATCCCTTGACTCCTCAGTGGTCATGGTGAGTACCGTAACTCCAGGACTCTCACCTGGTTTCAAAGCTTAGTTCTCATCAATGGCAGTGGCTCTCATCCAGGGGAGATTTTGCTTGCCATCCCTGCCACTTCTGGGGACATATGGCAACATCTGGAGGTATTCTGGGTTTTGACAATTAGGATTGGAATGCCACTGGCATTAGTGCACAGAGGCCAGGGATGCTGCAAAACATCCCACAGTGCAAAAGATAGCCCCCCATGACAAAATGTCAGCAGTGTCACTGTCAGGAAACTTAGATGGGTGTTATTTGCAAGCACGTCAAAATGAATATTTACCAGACTTCTTTTTTCAGAAACAACTACCATGACATTTCTGGTAAGGGTCTGATTAAATGAATAAATGAACTACCACATCATACTTATATTTACCTGAAAGGCATATAGGATATATCTCCAAAGATTAATATTCTATATGCTTCTTCTGGAGTTCTCCCCAAATATATAACCTATATTTGAAAATAGAAGAGAAAGGCAATTTACTTCTAAATGAAGATACAGTACTGTCAGTATGAAGTCAACTTTGCACAATTCTAGCCAGTCAACACAGTGGGAGTCTCCAGCCCTCCCAAGGATCTTCAGAGCCACTGGGTCCTGTCAGTGAATTCCTTTGTTGTTTGAATCTACCATAGCCCATTTCTGTTGCTGATCAACGATTTTTCACACCAACCTTCTGTGGTAAGAAGTACAGCATCTTAGAAACACTTTTCCAAATCAAGATGTTAGACTGAGCACATGATTTTACCTCACGTTCTTCCTAAAAATCCACTGAAATGACAGTAAAGGGGGTGGAGTGGGGGGTGGAGTGCGGTGAAAAGGGCCACAAAAGCATAATAAGGACTTCTACTGGCCCATCCGCGTGGGTTTATGTACTTATAACACCTCACGAGTTTCCCACAGGACGGCACTCGTTTCCTATCTCACCTGCTGCTTTTGTCTTTAGAACTATGCTGTGCTTCGAGTCTCATCTGGTAGAATACTTCAGTATGTTCTTTAGCATCTCAGGTCCACAGCTGGTATTCCTTGCATTTCCAAACATTTATTTTTTCTCCCTCAACACGTACTGTTTGACTAAGCGTGGGGTTTTGGTCTGCAGTCCTTCTCTGCCCACAGCTCACAGGCGGTGCCCCAACACCTTCTCATCGCCAGTGGTGCCCAATACCTCGTGCCAGTTGAATTCGCTCCTCCCCCGTCCTTCTCATGGTTAACTGTCTGTTCCAGAAACCTGGAGTTCAAGAATTTCACTAGGGTCTCTCTGAATAAGTCACCCGTCCTCTCTCCTCCCCCGACTAAGCTTGCCCCGGACTTCCTGACCCTCTGTCTGTCTGAAGGCACACGTCTTTCCCCAATTCAGAATCTTCCTGCAGGTTTCAAAGCCCAGCTCACACACGGAGGGCAAGGGACATGGAAGTATTAGATTTGGCACATATATTACCCAAAACTAAATTAAATTTTTTAAGGTTACTTTGGGAAAATACACTTAGAATTTTACTGGTAAAAAGCAATCACTAAAAAAGCCAATTACAAACTTTTTATCTCCATTTCTCAACATTACACGTGAGAGCTGCAAGTATTCTGAAGTGAGGACCCATGTCTTACTGCTTCATTTTAACTCCTGTTTCAAACACTGTACTTGGACTCTGATTCATTATTTAATTCAGTGAGCCCAAATCTACATATAATAGTTAGGAAAATTGAAAATATCTGATAAAAAGTTGAAATATTATTGAATTAAGAGAAATTATAAAAATTCAAAGATCCAGCAAGAATCCTTGAAACCTAGAGAAACACACATCCTAAAGCTAGTTGTAAGAGTTGACTGAGCTTCTAGAAGGCATTTCACCAATTTTCTGTTAAGACTCATAAATGAAAAATTTTCCAATGTTTCCTAATAAGATTTTATCCCATTTACTCCAAAAATACCAAACTATAATTAACTATACAGAATTCTCTAACATTTATTTACCTACAGCAGCATATGAACCCACAAAAGGTCTAACAAAAGATCATTCTCAAGAATAAATGAATGCTTTGCTAAATTTTACCTAAAATCAAACAAATTTTCAAGTATAATACTATTGACTCAAATAAGATTGTAATTTATATGAACTAACCAACCATAAGAATATCTATAATCTTATTCAACATGCTATATTTGTAAAACTTATTTGTCCAGACATTACTTATCCTACACTTACAACTTTTAAGCATCAACCTATCAATTGATTTTCTATTTTATTATTCTTTATTTAGAAAAACAGCATAACAACTATTTCATGAAAATTAAAGAAATTAACCCAGCCAGTTTCATTCTCCTCTAGTCTCCAACATGTCTCCTGTCTCTTCTAAGACCTACCAGATAACATCAGTAAAGTCTTTTCTCCATTCTATTTTAGGACTTCCTAGCAGACCCCTCCAAAAAACACCCCTAAAACCAAAAAATAAAATTACAAAAAAAACTTGAATGAGGGCGAGAGTAGGATTTGCTTCATTTGTGTATATGTAATGTATGTTTGTGTATATACAAGGGATCTGCAAAAAGTTCATGGAAAAATCATATTCTTTTAATTCCATTTTTTCCACAAACTTTTTCAAGTAACCTTGTACATACAGTTTAAATAAATTAATGAGATGAAATCCAAAGTGCTCTTTCAAAATTTCCCATACATTTCTAAGACCTTCTCTCAAATTATGTAAATTTCCCCTTAAATACCAATTTAAAATAATTCTTCCTACTCAAGATTGCAGTTCTGCAACTAGGCAAGCTGCCACCACCACCGCAGGGCCCCTACCAGGGCACTGAGGTCTGGAGCTGGGAGAAGCCAAACCCAGCTGCAACTGGGCAGGCTGCCACCACTGCCCCAGGGCCCTCACCAGGGTCCTGAGGCACGAAGCAGGGGAAAGCCAAACTCAGCCGCAACCAGGTAAAGAGCACACTAAAGACACCATTTCCACGCAGGCAGCCCACCATAGCCACTGCAATTGCCATGGCTGCTGCAAAAGCAGCTAGTCTCTATAGCAGCAGTCACAGCCACCATGCAGATGGCACGCCGGACTCTCAACTGCATTGACATGAGGCACCGGCATAGACCAAAAAAAAAAAAAAAAAAAAAAAAAAAAAAAAAAAAAAAAAAAAAAAAAAAAAAAGAGGTCTTCTCTCTCCACAAAGCACAGTCCAGAGTAATAGAAGAAGCATCTGATTTATGATATAGGGTAGGACGTAATCACACCTTCTCAGTACTGGACAGATCATCTAGGTAACAAACCAACAGAGGAACAGTTAATCTATGAGATGGAGAGAACAAATCTATGGTTATTGGGGGGGGGTGGGGGGGTGGATAAGGGGCATAAAGAATAAGTACTATTTGTAACAATGAATATGTTAATAAAAAATAAATTAAAGGGGCCGGCCCGGTGGCGCACTGCTGCAGTGCGCTGCTTGGGAAGTGCGGTGGCGCTCCCGCCGAGGGTTCAGATCCTGCATACAGACCAGCCGCTCACTGGCTGAGCGAGGAGCAGGGGCAACACCAAGGGTTGCGATCCCGTTGCCGGTCCCAGTCCGGTACGGGCGCGACACTGAGGGTTGCGATCCGTTGCCGGTCACGAAAAAAGACAAAAAGACAAAAAAAAAAAAAAAATAAAAATTAAAAAAAATAAATTAAAAAGAAAAAAATTGCAGTTCTTTGGTTTCCTAGTTATTAAAATTGCAATGGTATTTCCTTCTAACTTCCAAAACAAAAATAGTCTCTGATACATAAAATAACTGTGGATTAGCCTTGGAACACAAGTTCAATTCAAAGAATACAACAATTTAACATTTTTTCCTATGGGGAGAAACGTTATTAAAATTGCAATGGTATTTCCTTCTAACTTCCAAAACAAAAATAGTCTCTGATACATAAAATAACTGTGGATTAGTCTTGGAACACAAGTTCAATTCAAAGAATACAACAATTTAACATTTTTTCCTATGGGGAGAAAAACCTAAATTCCTAATGACGAACTTTAAAAAACTAAAATTTTTAAATCCAGGTGAGGAATGCCTGTACATAAATAGATAATGTAAGGCACAATGAAATAAAGTGCAGGAAATTTACAGACTTAGAATAAATTTATTTACATAATTATCAAAGAAATATTTTCTAACAATCTGCAATTTTTCCTTTTATATCTACGCATCTTCCCAATTCAAAAGGCCTTTGCAAATGATGTTTATACTAAATTTGTTACTTAAGAAGAATCCCATAAATAGCTTCCTATATTAACAAATTCTCAGGTCAGTAAACTCTAAATCGATGAAATTTTATCTATCACTGTGATCCTGACAATTTGGACACTAGGCACTCCTCAAATTCTTCTGGTGTATTTTCACAAGAAGCTCTGTATATAAAATGCCCACTCTAATTCCACAGTGCTGTTGAAAACAAGAAACAACAAAGATGCACAAGAGGCACATCAAACAGCTGTTACAGCCAGCTCCCAAGACGACCCCAAAGACTCCCATCTCCTGCTGTTTCCACACTCATGTAGCCCCCTCCCACATGAAGGGTGCCCCCGTGCAAACAACAGGGCACTGCAGTGATGACAGTATGTGACTTCTGAGGCTACATCACGAAAGATGTGGCTTCTGCCCTGCTTGCTGTAGGATTCCTCCCACTAGGTACAGCCAGGTGTCCTTTGGGAGGCGAGAAACAGGCCTCCTGCCACACTCAGCACTAACTTGCCAGGCATGGGGACTAGCCACCTTGGACGTGGACTCTCCGGACCACAGCCCAGGTGACATCCAGAACCACACCCACCCACAGTAAGCCACTCCTGGATACCTACCCCAGGGAAACTGTCTGAGACAGTGTTTACTGTTGTTTTAATCGCTAAGTTTTGGGATAATCTGCTGGACAGCAATAGATAATACAACAGTACACTCAACAATGAGTGAGGAAATGATTATTTCAGTTTGTTAAAGGTGGATAAACAAAAAAATATGTGACAAGTGCAGAGTTGTGGCTTAGGAAGCATCAGTAAGACCTTGTAGTCTCTCTAGGATAAGGAAATCGCTCTGAAGGAGCAAACAGCAATGTGACAGGAAGAAGAAAATTCTGTGGCAGAAAATACTTGAGAAGTCAGTAGTGTTTTTCAGAGTCTCAGTACAAGGTTCTTCTTTGGCCGAGCACCACCCCTGCTTTCTCAAGCAGCACCTGCACGCCTGCCCCATGAGAACGTCGGAGCCCGGACTGACCTGTGGCCCTCGACCTGGGAGGGGCTTGGTCCCCAGCGGGCGACTAAGTGACGGGGGCAAAAGGACCAAACTCGATCGTGTACTGTTTCCATTCGGACGAGCCAGGCCACAAATAACAGAAACCAGTCAGACATGTGTCTCATTTCTATTCTTATTCACAACATTTTGAAGCCTTTTCTATGTACTCAGAGAGCCTTTGGTACAGCTTAAAAA